TGCTCAAAATTTTTCTATGCCATAATTTTTTTGAGCAGTGTATATATATATATATATATATATTAATTACATATTATATATAATTATATAATTATATAATTATATATATATATATATCTTCTTTTATCTAAATCTTGAAGAATTGATAGTTTTTTAAATGATTTGTTTCTAAGCGATTGAAAATGAAGGATTTTATAGGAAGAAAAGCAGAGTACGGAAGCACGTGCAGAAGAATTGGAGTCTCGCGTTGGCAGCCTCGAACACATGAATCTGTTAGCTAGAGGTCGTAGCCTCGAACGAGCATCGCCGCCGCTGAGTGGGCGGTCTACACCAAAATCGCATCATAGTCCAAGCAGGGATTATTTGCATAAGTACCACACCGTTAGTAATCACGTAAATGCAATAATTGTTATTTATATTAGTTTGATTACATAGAGTATGAGCAAAGTGAGTCAAGTTGTTTATAATATATTTCTGTATTTTTTTTTTTCACGTAGGCACCTGCGTCAATGTCTCCGGCGCATTTACATCAATATGCTGCTTCCTTAGCTAGTCCGGGCCAACTATCAGAATCTCTTCCTGCTAGCCAGGTTAGCTAGTAACTTGATTTAATTATTATTAGATTAAAAGGGGAAGGGACAAGAGGTTTGTATTTAAATTAAAGGTAAAATTTGCGAATTTACTTTAAGGAAAGGAATAAATGAACACAGTTGTCCGTTTAGGTGTTATTTACAACTATGCTCCTATCTGATAGTGTATTTGATTTGTTGACTCGACCCGATTCAAATCAATAGTCTGTTCTTTTTAGCTGAGTTTTTTGAACAGTTTAGCTCTTCTTTTACAGCTAAAAAGAATAGACCGAATCGGAGTCAGATCAATAAATCGAATACGCTATGATGAAATGGAGAAAATTAATTTGTAATACAAAATTTATACCATATGAAACATGTAAGTGTTTTTGTCACTAAAGATAGGTCCGAAAGTTTCGAGTGTTTCGCATAATTCCCTGACTTCTAAGGAAGCAATGTGCTGTTTTCTGATCTAGTTTTTCTCAGGACACTTTGCTCTACAGATTGAAATTAAAATATACTAGAAATTATGTTATTATAAAATGGTAACAACATAAACATAAAATTCTAATTTTTGCGTAAAAATTGACGTTATTTATGCAGTAAATAACACTTAAATGAAAAATTATGTTTATTTGTTTTTTTCCTTAAAATAAGTTCCAAAATATCCCACACATATTTTATAAGAAATGGGTTTTGGTCAATTTACTGCAATTTTTGATATTTTGTATTAATTTAGTATTTATGACAAGTTGATTAAAAATACTCACAAAGTTTGAAATGCCTTCGCTTTTACTCTTGGACTTTTAAAAGATCTTTATATCTCATACAGAAAAATAAATCTTTTTCACAAACATTAGTTATAAACTATAATTTATCACAAAAAAATATCCTAGACTTAATATTATGAAAGAAAGATCACATTTTTTAATATTCCGAAAAATCGCAATATAAAAATTATTTTATTTGCATTTATTTTTTTGCTAATTTTTAAATAATTTCATGTTATTTGAAAAGCTTTATTTTCTAATTGCAAGAAGCATTGAGTTTCCAAAAATTAAATATTTGATTTTATGTTTGTGTGTTCTAAATATGCTTTTTTAAACATTAAAAAAATTATTTGAAAATCGGCAGAAACTAATAAAGTAAATGCAAATAACAAAAAATTTTTTCCAACATGTTTTACAATATATCATGTATTATACTGATAATTTTTTTATAAATATTATTGGAATATTGACAAAACATGATATTTTTTTTCAATTAGGTTTGGGATATTTTTTTCGTAATATATTATACAGTGTTTATAACTAATGTTTGTGAAAAAAATTTATTTTGACTATATTCTTCCATTTAAGATGTAAAGAACTTTTAAAGGAACTTGGAGTAAAGCATTTCATAAAGACTTTTAATTAACTTGATGCGGACTACAAAATACTAAAATTTAAAACAAAGCAATCAAAATCTATTTTCTATAAAATGTGTAAGGAATACTTTCCATCAATTTAATTATACAAATTTACTATTTTTTCTTATGCAAACAATTTTTTTAATATGATTTCTAATAAAATAGTTTTAAAATAATTTTAATTGAAATATTGATATCTAATGTAATATAATTTTTTGTAAAAAAAAATTCTTTAAATTTTAATGTATTAGAAAATAGAACTGGTAGAAGAAAAATGAAAATCTTTCGCTTATTAACATAGATAATAATTTGATAATACATTATAATAATGTATTGCATTATAATACTATGAAATTATATTCATTATTTTATACATATGATGTCTTAATGAATGTCTTCTTAATGACAGATTGTTTGATCAATATTAAATCAATTTTTTTTTAAATAAAAATCTTGAGGAATTGATGATTTATAAGTGATTGAAAAAAGAAAAGTTTTAGCTAAGTAAACTTTGAGAAGTTAAATATATATATTATAAAATATTGTTCTTAATTTTAAGTAATAACATTGCACTTAATTTTAAGTAATATTTAATTTCATGAAATGTTAATTTGAAGCCTAATTACAAAAATATGTGATGTAAAAAATTGGAAAGTTGATGTAGAAAATTGCAATACATGATATTCTTTCGTGACTTTTTTTACTTGAAAAAAATCAACTCAAAATTGATCAAAGATTCTATTATTAAAAAAATTTTGATAAATACTACGTACAAATTATATACAAAAATGAAAGAATAGTTCTCATTTGTAACAGTTGCAGTTATCGGGAGAGGAACTGCATTCGGTTAGCGAAAGAGATAGTGGTGGTGTAGGAAGTGGTAGCGATGCAGCATCTCCTTTAACAGCCAGGTCTCTGAGATTGGAACGAGTTGTTCAAGCACTAGCCCATAGTCAGGAGGAACTTAGAAGGTATATTTTCTATTTTGTTAAGAAGAAAATTCTGATTTCAAAATCTATTTATTTTTTATATCTGAGTGAATATATTCGTTTTTATTTATAACGTTAATTACTTTCGATACTTTGGCAATTGCACAATAAGTATAAAAAATGAAAATATCAATTATATAGGTCTATAAATCTTTATACAAAGGACGTACGATTGTAATGTGGGGAAACCTTAATCTCTTTACATCTATTACATCTTAATTATATGATATAGAGATGATATTAGCCGAAGTTTAGTGTCATCTCTTAAATTAGTATCTTTTCATTGTTTGTGCTATCAGACGTACCGGACAGAGCGGATTTCCGAGTGGTGGTTTCCCCACGCACAGGTTAATTAATGATATTAATATTGCATGTAAATCACATTATTATATGCCTCTGTGCACGACGCATTTGAATGGCTCTTGCGGGCATGAGACGAGTGACTTTGAAATCAGACCAGTCGTGTTAATGGTAATTTGTTTATAGTTCAAATAACTACATCATTTATTAGACATCTTCAGATATATAAAAATATAGCATGCAAAGTATCACTTATATGCCCGCAATATCGATTCTCGAGCACAATGGCACGGAAATGTTCAATAATTCGAATAGACACCCGAAAATCCCAGAAGAGACTGATACTAACCTGTTTTCATATCTATCATATTTTCGAGCCTGTCCAGTTTTTTACAGCAATATGATGCCTAGTAATTATTCTGCATGTAAAAGTATGAAGATAAAATTATCGAAAAATTAATGCTTTATGAAATATTTTATACATTTTAACATAAAATATGAAAAATAATCTCCTAAACTATTATTGATTTCTTGATAATTGTTACTTAATATCTTTAAATACATTTAAAGGCATTAGGGCTCATCAAGAATAAATCCACATTAGTGAAGTAAAACCTATGCGAGCCGACATGGATGTTGGTGTATAATAATTTTTACAATATCCAATCACACGCAAACTGCGCGCCACATATTTGTTGGTCTTAAAATACAGTTTATTACATGAGGCCGGAATCCATCATTAATATCTTTATGCACAGAATAATAAGATAAATTGATTGGTGCAAAGAAAACAGTTGCTTTTAAAATGTGTAATTTGCAATATGTAATTACAATTTTTTTAAAGTAATTAAGTGTTCTCTTTAGATCAATTTATCCTATTATTTTGTGCATAAAAATATCAAAATAAAATTTAAAAAAAACAATTACAACAATTTGCGTGATATTTTATATTTGCTTAATATTGCTTAATATTTATGCTTAATATTTAATTCAAATATGTCAGAAAATATAAAATATCTTATAAATTGTTGATTTTTAATATCTCTACTTTAATATTTATATATGCAGAATAACTAGAGAAATTATCTTATATAATAAAATCATATTATTTTATTTTAAAAAATAATCTTTATATGATCTTGAAAAATCGACTTTTTTTTTAATTAATTTTATCATTATTTGTCCCCTTTCAGACTTTACAACTTTTGTCTAAAACATTTTTCCATATCTTTTATACTTTTTAAGTCAATACATTTCGATGCGAAAGTTAAAATAGGATACTACAGAACATGAATTTTGTTATATTATGTTGTTTCAGTCTTTTTTCTCTATCTTTATAATCAACATACCTCTATAATAATTTTATCTTATAAAGAATAAACAGTTATCAATATTGCAATGTGCAAATATTGCGTATTGTAGAATTTCCTTTATATATTTATTTGTTAACGTTATTTCTTAAAATTTATTTAGATGTGCTTATGTTTTTTTGTTAATTTTATTTTAATTTTTTATTACTTAAACTATTAACTATTATTAATATTAAATTAAAATTATTTTAATAATAATTATTATTAGTTAATTAAAATTAATTATTAATTTTTTGTTAGTTAAATGCGCTATTTAAAATTGGACAGGTTTTGATATATACGTATGTATTATATGTATACATATGTGAAGCCATCATGTGTAATTGCATCACAATTCACTTGAGTCTGTGAGTTTCTTCCTTTGAGTATAATATAATCAAGAAAGAAAGAAAGGAAAACGTTTTTTATAAGATATGATATAAACACTTATATAAAAATAATACTTACATGTCTCAAAATCAGCTATCTTTACAATAATAATTAATTCTTTAGCCAATTTTAAATTGATTTTTGTTAAAATGAAAATATCGAGATAAATATCGAGATAGCATCTTTCTCTTACTCTCTCTCGCTATTCTCCGTCCTCCCATTTTTTTCTTTTCCCTTCCTCTCTTTCTCTCTCTTTTCTACTCTTTCTCCTTCCTCCTCCCACTCCTCTCCTCTACTCCCCCTTGCCATTTCTCTTTCTTCCTCCTCTCTGTGTCTCTCTTTCCTTCCTCCTTTTTCTTTCTCTTTCCTTTTCTCCTTCTCTCTTTTCTTCTATCCTTTCACCCCCTCTCTCTTCCTCTCTTTTTCTTTCTTCCCTTTTCTCCTTCTTTCTTCGTCTTCTCTTTTCTTCTTCCCTTTTTCTCACTTTCCTTCCCTTTTCTTCTTTTCTTTCTCCTTTTCTTTCTCCTTTCTTTCCTTCTTTTTTCTCCTTCCTATCTTATTCATATTTACATAGGTCACGTCTCAAAACTACTAATTATCCTTTTAATGACAGATTCTTTGATTAATTTAAAGTTAAATTATAATTTATAATTTCTGATTTATAAGTAATCAGAAGAAACATTTTTGTAAAAAAAATTTTTTTAAAGGCAAGTGGATAACAAAATGTATTTTTCAGTTAATTTCAGGTAGAATTTATTTAAATATTCTGTTTAAATAAATTCTTAAAAATTTTAAAAACATGAAATTTTCAAGGGATTATCATTGAAAATGAAGGATTTTCATATAATTGTATTAGAGAAACTTTTGAAAGGACGATGGATAAAATAACCAAATATTTACCTAAGCGATGGAACCTTTTTTATGTATGTTTTCTTATGTTTTTTGATGTGTTGAATCATTTGCAAACGTTAATTTTAAACTGATATGATGGGAAAGCGTTGAAAACCACATTTAAAGTAGCAGTTTCGTCGAAATCTGAACAAAAATTCAAAAATACATAATACTTTCTTATTTTCTTTTTCTCTTTCTATCACCTTCTATCTTACTTCTTCACTCTTACTTAATCTTCCATCATTAATTCTGACATCACCTAATCTTACTTACATCAGCTCAATCTAATATCACCCAACCTGCCCCAAACTATTCCACTCTTAGCATGACCTAGGACCAATAACGGGCGTGCGCGCGCGTGTGTGTGTGTATGCGTATATGTGTTTAAAAACTTCGTTATAAATTATCACTATGTAGTTTAGTTGTCAGAGTCATCATCATCATCATCATAATATCCTTCAATATTGAAGTAATTGTCTAGATACCCTGCTGGTTCTTCACTTCTAAGGGGCTGTCTATAATACATCGTATGTCAGATCGTAAGCCGTAAATCGTAAGAATTGACCAATCACAGCTGAATGTAAAAGAAATATTTGACTATGATTGGTCAATTCTTAGTTAGTATGATATGAGTAGTGACTAACGGCTTATTGTAGAAAGCCCCTAAGTATCAAGCATAAAACAAATACGTTCCATATAATGGTAGCAATATGCGAACAGCAACCAACTACTCGATTTCCTATTTTACAGTTGCATGACGAATGACCAATGATAGGCTGAAAGTCAGAAAAACTTTTATTAATAAGGACATAGGAAAAATAGTACATAACATAAGAACATAGGTCATGCTAAAAGTGGAATAGTTTGGGGCAGGTTGGGTGATGTTAGATTAAGCTGGATAAGATTAGGTAATGTCAGAATGGATAATGTTAAATTAAGTAAGAGTACAGGAGTGGGATAGAAGGTGATAGAAAGAGAAAAAGAAGATAAGAAAGTATTACGTATTCTTGAATTTTTGTTCAAATTTCGACGAAACTGCTACTTTAAATGTAATTTTCAATACTTTTCCATCATGTCATTTAAAATTAACGTTTGCAAATAATTAAACACATATAAAAACATAAGAAAACATGCATAAAATAAGTTCCATCGCATAGGCAAATATTTGGTTATTTTACCCATCGTTTTTTTACTTTTAAATTTATATTTTATCTCTTTAGAGAAGACAATATTGTTTCTTTGATCATTTTTTCGTGATTATATAAAATGTCAATCAGCATTGTCAATATATGTATGACATACACATACGTGACCTCTGTCCAGTTGGCCCCCCACCACGCGGGAATCAAAAAACAAATATCTCAGAATTAAGAGCTATTTATAAGTTCTCAAATCCAGCAAGTTAAAAATTTTGAACTCGTCTGCCTTAGCAGGAATTTTGATTTAAAGATGGGGGAAGAACTGAGTAAACTACTCAGTTCCTCATCCTTTAAAATTAACAACAGAAAATCTCTTATGGGCACATAATTTTTTCTCGCAGCTTTTTATGAACACTTAAATCAATGCAGTTTTGATTTTTAAGCTCCATCTCTTATCCTCGAAACAACCCCAAAACTAGTATATACGCTGAAAAGGTAACTCGTATAAAATAGCATTAAATCTACAATTGCTTTAAATCATATACTTCTAACATTAATGTGCTATAAAAATATATAAAACTTTTTGAGCTATAACTCTTTAGCAGGGAAACCATCTCTTGCGTTCGGCACTCAAGAAAAAACAATGCTTGAAGATAGAAAATAAGTCATTTTATGATGAAAAATTATCTGCTGATTTATGAGTTCTAGAAATATACGTAAACCGATTTTTAAGCTGCAATCCTTTAATAGGGAAACCACCCCTTATGATCGGCACTTAAGAGAGAATTACGCTTAAAAATACAAAAAATAAATCATTTCATGAAAAACGAAAAGTTATCTGATGAGTGTCGAATGCAAGGGAGCTAAGGAATTGCAGCTCAAAAATCGGTTAATGTATATATGTTGCGAGAGATCATAAATCATCACATAATTTTCTATCATGAAATTTTTTTCTATCGATCTTCAAGCATAGTTCTTTCTTGCTTGCTGAACACTAGGGATGGTTTCCCTTTTGAAGGATTATAGCTCAAAATGAATTATACATTTTTGTAGCACATTAATGCGGAAGTATATATGGTTTAAAGACATTGTAGATTTAATCAAAAGACACGGTAATGTCTCGATAGATCGATCTCGTTAGTAGACTTGTCACGAGACATTACCGTGTCTTTTGATTAAATTTACAATTCCTTTAAACCATATATTTCCGCATTAATGTGCTACAAAAATGTATAATACTTTTTGAGCTATAATCCTTCAGCAAGGAAACCATTCCTT